AGACATGCTAAACAGCAACCCTCTGATCTTATTTACAGCAATGAGGATCCGGCTACATATCTGCACTTCAATGGAACCAGAGCAACTCCTGACTTACTCCTGGCTCCAAGTGACATCAGTGAGCATACACGCAGCAAATATATTGACGATCCTGGTTCTAGTCGGAAACCAGTCATTGCCAGTATTACAATCGGCAACAAAATCAAGGCAAGGAAATTGCCAACTAAGCTATCATGGATCCCCAAGAAGGCTGACTGGTCTAGATTCACTAACTTTTTAGAGAATGAACTTCACACAAGTTCCCTCAACTTCAACCACCATCCTGACAAACTTTGCTATGATATCACGAATATTATGATCAGATACGCAAAGAAAACTATTCCTCGAGGCAAGACAAAACACTACCGAGTGTTTTAGTCTAGACACCTTGAGGAACTGAAAAGATAGCATAACGCTTTTCGTAACACTGACGATCAGGCTGGAAGAGCGGAAGACGTACAAGCCTGGAGACGACAATCAGCTGTCCTAAGGCAAGCCATCTTACAAGATTAACGCACTTTCTTCGACAAGTTCATCGCAAATATCAACTATCAAAGTGTTAGCCAACGCACTTTCGAATTCCTCGGTAACCTCCAAAACAACATGAAAAGACCCAAGAAAGTACCAATACGTATAAAAAACAAACTACTTACCACCGCCTCCGAAATAGCTTACGGCTTTGCAAGGTTCTATTCCCACAAGCAAAAGAAAACCCCTTTTGTCACAAAATTTCAAATCCATTTAATGTTCTTACTGAACCATTCAGACCTTGCGAGCCTAATGCTGCGATAAAACAGCTCAAATGCAAAAGATTCCAAGCGAAGACGCTATTCATCCGGAATTTCTAATTAGAATGTGACCAACAGCCAAGGAAACTATGCTGACGTTTTTAAAAAAATCTGGGTGACCAGTCTCGTAACTAACCAATGGAAAATTGCCATAGTAATACCAGTACTTAAAAAGGGTAAAGACCCTAGCAACTTTGACAACTATAAGCCTATCTCCATCACAAGCGTGCTGGCTAAACTTATGGAAAGAATGGTTTACAGGAGGCTCACCTGGTTCCTTGAGACCAACAATATTCTTAGGAGTGAAAAAGCAGGTATTAGGCCGCAAAGATCAACGAAATAACAAGTAGCCACTTGATGCAAGAAATACTCTAACTGCTATTTTCGGCGATTTCAAATCAGCATATGACTTAGTATGGAAAGTGATTTCAAATCAGCATATGACTTAGTATGGAAAGAGAAGTTCTTCAAATCAGCATATGACTTAGTATGGAAAGAGAAGCTAATTCCGAAATTGGCAAAGATTGGTATTAAACATAACATTCTAAACTGGATGAAAGCATTCATTGGACAAAGATCGTGTAAAGTCAGATACGAAAATGCTCTATCAAAATCCAATCTTTTACAAACAGGCCTTCTACAGGGAGCTGTCACAAGCTACACTCTTTTCAATGTCTTCATCATGACATAGCCGAATTAGTACAGGCAGTCACGGGCATCGAGTGCCTACTTAATGCAGATGATCTTGTTCAATGGTATTCCGCCCCTAAGAAAAACGCTCAGGAGAGGACTGAAAGTGCCCTAAATTGTGGACTTAAACTACTAGCAAACCGGTGCGACAACAATGGAATGGTAATCAACACCGCGAAAACTGCATTCCAGACATATCTCGGAATGATGGTAGACACAAAGCTAACGTGGAAAAGTCACATTGCTAAAATAGCAGAACGAGTCTTCAAAACACTGGATGCAGTGAAGAGTCTTGATGGTAGCATATGGGGCTGTGCACACTCAACTCTCAACACCACTTACAAGATGATTATTCAGCCAATAATGTTGTACTGCTGTGAGCCACTCATTACAGCCGCTGAGGTGACTCTCAAACCACTCGAGAAGGCACACAACCAAGCATTACGACTAATTACTGGAGGGATATAATCAAAACCCATTGAGGCAATGCTTCTAGTTACAGGAAGCACCACCATATGTTCCCTTATCAAAGAAAAGGCCTTAATATTGTATGAGAAGCTACTGCGCATTCCCATGGATAAGTTCTTCAGCACCTATGAGAATAGACCAAGACATCGGAAGAGTAATCTGGTCTAATACAGAAAGCCATAGAACTGAAGAAAGAATTACAAATCGATGACAAACCAAAAAGCCTCTCTCCCCCCATGAACCCATCAGCAGATACTGATGTAGCGTGTTGCACCAAACTGCTGGACTTCTTCGGGAAATCAAACACTCCTCCAGAACAAATGCGCTCACTGGCACTTGAAACAATCAATGTCAACTATCCTGGAGATCAATGGCTCCAAGTCTTCACTGCGGGTCATATATAAGTCTGCACTGTTGAGGCCATGGAAAGCCAAGGAAACGTTGGTGCAGGTGTCTATTCTGAACTCTTCTCATCAATGGCTCCAAGTCTTCACTGATGGGCCATACATAGAAAAAGAAGCGAACATTAGTGCAGGTGACTTTTCTGAACTCTTCTCTTTCTCCGCAGCAGCGGGACAAAATAGATCTACTTTTGAAGGAGAAATAGATGCCATTAGGATAACACTCTTCCAATTATGTTGCCTGGATACGAAATTCACCAAAGCGGTGTGACAATTATGTTGCCTGGATACGAAATTCACCAAAGCAGTGATACTTCCGGACTCACAGTCAGCAATAGACTCTATTGGAAACAGAGAGACACCACTGAGATAAAGGAATGTAGAAAACTCTATCAGCTGCTGAGCGAGAAAATAAATCAGCTGTCTTACAATGGATTCTGGTCACTGTGGCATTAAAGGTAATGAGCTGGCTCACACACTTGCTAAGAAGGGAACAACGATTTTGCAATGCATGGACCGGCCGATGTCTTTCCACACAATGAAGGCCTTAATCAGAAGAGAATTCCAGACCACAAGGTGCAGCGAACTTAAAGCTCAAAAAACGTTGAAACAGTGGACAGTGGCACTCTCCGACATAGCCGACTGGCCAAGAATCGAAGCCGTTGCTGAGTTTAGACTACGTACCGGACACGATTGCTTGGCAAAACACCTTCACAGAATAGGAGTAGGCACTCAACCCGCATGCCCTCTATGTAACCTACAGGAGGAAATGGAGAAGACCCACCTGATTCGACGGCCACCCCTAAAGACAACGACGAAAAGCCAGAGATACTGGGAAGCACGAAGACGCCTAATGAACTGCTATTAATTAACTGCTATAAATGTACCCCCACCCACACTTTGGGGAAGCTGAAGTCAAAGTTTAAGGGCTAATGATAAATATCATAAATAAATAAATAATATTTTCATTTTCACCATTCCAGCATTAATGCTTCCTGTTGTTAGAAAGTACAAAGCATTTTTGACCTCAAACGTGTTCCGTACAAAATAGAAACTTGCATGGTTTGGGTCATTCCAAGATGAATTCCTGCCTAATCATGTCCCAAAGTTTGTGGAATTTTTTCAGGAAAATTAGGGCATTATGAGAGTAAAAAGGTGCTCTTTAGTAATGAGAACTCTGTATGCTTAGCAATTGTAAACAATTATTACGCTGCTTTAGATTCTATAATGCAAACAATTTATTGAAGTCAAATACATATTTCTTCAAATATTTTATGTTAAGACTGGTAAAATCCATATAAATCCGTAATTGTGCTTGGCATGACGAAGGCATTATTTTCTAAAATTATTAGCATTTTTACCAAGATCATATTCCACTTTGCTCTAAATACCATTCGCATTCCATTGCCTCAAATCTCCCAGAATCCAGATAAGTGTCAATTGAATTTTGAAATAAGTCGAAGCATACCTTAAATGAATACGTTTGATAGAAGTAGTCACTTACTGGAAATTTGGAAAATTTAGAGTTGATGCCATCGTCAAATTAACTATAAAAAGTACTTCCATCGAATCAACTATACGCTTTCATGGAATGCACTCCTCCTTGAAGTCGCTTCTTTAATCAAATAAAAGAATGACGTAAGCACTGCCACATTGTTAGTGTCCGGAGTCAGAAGCAAATTCATGAAAGTGGGTGCTTATGGATGATTTAATGAGATATCTTTGAGGATAATATCCAATGTGGCTCTAGTGAAAACCAATTTGGTGGAAAGAGCCTCACGTTAAAATTAGACTTCGTGTAAATTAAAAATTAACTCATTTGGCGTGATTGCTTCACCTTTGAAACAACCCACTTGTCCATTGAGAAGTGGCTTAATGTTGAAAATGTGAAACTAATTCCACATCTGTAAACCATATGGGGGAGACGGAATGTTGCTGAATATGCAAAACAAAACGTTAGAGTGTTATTGTGATTTTGGTTGTGGATGGGTAATGTAAGATATGTGGAAAATGGCATCATAACGGGCGTCGACCCTCTGCTGTGAATGTTTGTTTGGAACAACTAATTCAACAGCTTATATTCAGCGCATCACCGTCGTCTGCTTCTTTCCTTACCTGACTAACGAATATTCGTTAAAATTATGTGAATAAGAAAAAATGTAAGTGGAGACATTGCATTCACTTCTATTGGCCGTTCTCAAATTCCCCTCAAGATTACATCAAAATATTTATCTTAAACTTTAGTAATTATGGTTCACTTACACACTGCTATTAGCATTAAAGTAGGCTTTCTCATTTCTTATTCCACAAAAAACTCGAAACTTAATTTCAATTAAAATCAGATGGAATGCTTTGCTCAAAAAATAAAAAGATGGTAAATAGAATTGATCGATCATTTGTTCCCCATTATACTCATGTTGAGCACCTTTATTGTCACAAATCTTAAATTCACGACGCATTAAATTGGAATCTGGTTAATTTATCATTGTAAATTTATTAGAATTCATTAATACACCAATGTTTCATTAACAAAAGTGTGTAGTAGCTTTGGTTGGTTAACAGCTAATGCTAATATAGAATCATCATTCTCTTGCTATTTATAACGTATTTAGTTGACAATTGTCACCCCTAATTCCATTGTCAATTTAAATGTTTCCAAAATTTTCCTTTCCAATCACAGTATCACCTTCCAAAATGATTATCCAACCTGCTTAATCAATTTGCTGTAACCAATTACGAAATGCACATTGAATTGAAACAAATCGTGGCGATAATAATGTGAATTAATTTCCAGATCTAACATGCCCCTTTTTGAAGGAATGGCCTGAGATATCGTTGCACAACTTCAGTTGTCCTCAAATGAGGTTAGTCAGATAAATCTATATAAGGACACATTCAATTCACTAACCAACTTAACTTCAAAATGAAATTTTTCATCTTGTTGTGCCTTGTTGTAACATTCTGGGCCTGCTACACGGAAGCAGGTAAGTGATCACCTTTGTGCAATGCGTTGTATCTGATCTATAAGAAATACAATTTAACTAGAATCTTTGACTGGGACATTTCTTTAATTTTCGCATAGTTTACTTAAGATATTAAATCATTGCAAAAAGTTTTATTCCAATCATTTAAAGTTAAAACCCACCCTTTGTGCATAACTTATTTTTAATTTACGAAATGGCATTTGAACCTAGAAAAAATGTTGAACACTTGCATTATTAAGTCAAGCTGGACTTATTGGCAAATATTATAAACTGTTAAATTTTGTCATTTTTTTCATCTGGATCACTAAAATGCACATCGTCCTTCAGAGGTTGAATTTTCGACCGGTGAGTTTCAATTTGTCATCGCTTATATGATTGCTTAACCTTTTGGGTTGTGGTTTGCGGATCATTTTGTAATCCTTCATTTAATACTTTGTACTAAAGTTATTGTATGGTAAGGGGATGAATAGAATAAAAGTATTGAACTTAAAAGCATCGCCTATGTGTTCTTTTTAGTAAAAGCGAATATCATTGATCAATTAATGTACACACATTAGTTGACAATAGACAAGTTTTGTTTGGCTGCTATGTGGTTTGTTGAATGCTGAATGCTCATTCTATGTAATATGTTTAAGTATCGATATGTGTTCTTCTCTCCATGTGTAAGAACAACCATTTTAATCTGGGAGATAATTGGAAAATTGGCAACTAATAGACCAAGTAACCCTCCATCAGCTTGTTTGTATATTGAGTGAAAAGCTATATTTAGGTCAAAGGGTACGATTTCTAAACTGGAGGTGGGATTCTTAACAAATGGTAGAATGCACAATTGCCAAATCTCAAGTATCATGCATTTGTGGGTTTGATTTGAAGTATATATCGCAATCGCGTAGATGCAATGAAAGATTGAGTTCATTTTGTGTCGCCTAACAAATAACGGTATCTGTTGTCTAACCTTTATGGCAAGTCATGATGTCTAAGTCATCGTGAAATCAATTTTTCCTTTAAGAATATCGTCGTACTCCAGGTGATCAAATTTTTTTGAATTTCACTCTATGATAGATTATTTTTGGCCAATGAATTATTCATCAAAAGTCCTAATGAGTTAATAATCATTAGTTACTAGTTTTTTAGTAAAGAGTTAGCAGTTAGCATTAATATTTTTACGGACTTAACAGTGAATCTTTTGTTTCCTCCAGAGGAATACGAACTATTGGGTAAGTTTTTAAACTTGTATTTTTTGATTCATCGGTAAGTTCAACATTGTTGTTAGCATCACCGAATAGTATCTGTTTTTTCAATTATATTTATAAGCATGAAATCAAAAATAACTAGCTTATTCAATCATATTGGAACAGTTGAATAAAATTCTTAATTTTCCTTTCAACTTTTAATTTCTCTTTTTCATTCAAGTAGTTAATGGATTATTCTATTTAGTACACTTTAAAGCTACAATAAAATCGATTGATCGATGAATTAATATTATTTCAATTGTATTAAATAATTGTACCCCTGCAATGCAGTATTAAATTTAATGAGTCGAAATGTTGTTAGCTATTATCTAAACTATTATCTTGTATATATTGTGGGTTTCCTCTTCAATAAATGCTATTTTTTTCAGAAGAACCTGAGTTTATAGTGGGTGAGTATAAATTGATATATATTGGTTACGTCCATTCCATCCATTCGTACTGGGCACATTGTGGTGCTCCAATTAGTCAGTTGTTGCCCATCGAATGCCTTCTAATGTAATTGTATGACGTTTTTCATGTCGTTTTTAGAGTGATTATCACTCTACCAATGGGAAGTTTAAAAATATAATGTGGGCCTATGAGTTTAGCAGTTTCTTCTGTTTTTATTTGAAACTACAGTGCACCCTGCAGTAGTGATTTGATTAGGGTTGTCTTTCCATTTTAGATTGTGATGGAAATATAGGTGAGGTTTGCATTGAGACATAAACTTTACGCAACATCAAATCTCACCCATTTGAAAATTTATATATTTATTTTATAGTTACTATAACTTTTCTTGATTATGAACACTAAAACACGATTTTCCTTGTAGTATATTGCCACTCGGAGGAGAGTAAGTTGAATGAAGTAACTTGAAGCACATAAAATTATTCACTAGCCTCAATACGAGATTGAAAGACATTTATTACTTTTTTCTTACTAATTAAAGTCTCATTATATCTGCGCTTTGTCATTGTTGGATGTCAAGAATGAATTTTGAAGACCATAATTGAATTGACATTTTAAAACTTGAATCGTCGTAAGCAACTACTTTTCATTTGATTGAAAGATTGGCAAGAGTCTATGGGAGGTCTTGGGAGAGCTAAAATGAAGTCAAAGGAAACTATAAAGTAGTTTTTACCAAAGAAAAAATTATAGGTAATGAAAATCCCACCTATCATGCAATTTGCCTAGTGCTGATTCATAATTTTAGTGGCCATATCACGAAATTCAATCTTGGCGTATCACCAAATAACTTAATAGTTAAAAAGAAAATAGCTTAAAATATATTTCCGGTGAAGTATTTGTGTTTAATAGGGGTACTTTGAAAAAATTTTATATTTCAAAGAAATAATAACGTTTTTCTTTTCAGATTATTGATTCTTCACTCGATCAAGTCAATATTGTTTAATGGTGAAATTCTAAAGGTTTTGCATCATTCAATAAATAATTTCATCAATTAAATCTCAAAAGTCTTTTTTACTTTATTTATAGATAAATAGTGTCATTCGTTATAAAGCAATTAGTAAGAAATTTAGCATGCATTATTACAAAAGTAAGGCACAGCCACACATATAAGATATTTTTTATTTAACCTTGTAAATGATGGTGTTATGACAGTTGCTGTCGATATGGCAGTGTTAATAATCTCT